TGATCAGATAATTGTCTCTAATAATCCAATCGACTTTTGTATTTAAGTGCTGTAATGCATGAGCACCTCTACCAGAGAACAACGTGTGGTAGTCATAGAACCTATCTCCGTACAGACTATGGATCTCAACAATAATTTCTTCTTATCTGTTAATTTCCTGACGTCGGCGAGGATACCGTGAACATATAATTCTTTTATATTTCCAAAATGCCGTGAAGAACTCACTAATATTGAACTGTTTGTTCAGCCTGGGATCCATTTGGGCTTCAATATTAAACTGCACACCTTCCGTGTGAATTACTCTATCACTGGCAAAATATGGGATGAGTAAGGCTGCCAAATTTACATCTTTGCCTCTAAAATGTTCTTACGGATATTGCACGACACTATACCCATGTGAGGTAACGATTCTGGGGAAATACCCTCACTAGATATGTAATTGTTAGGGTAATTTTACACACCTTCTGAAGAAGTGACAGTCGCTGTGTCTGATGGCTGTGTAGTCGGCAACTTAGCCATGGCGTTTCCAGTTAATTATAGTCCGATGACCGTTTCCCAGAATCGTGCCGACTTCGTTCTCTTTCCCTTTGAAGCAACAAGTTCACTGTAGTTGTTAACAACTCATTGGGGGCCGCTATGTTGAAAGACGTGGATGCGTGCGCGGGCACTTCCGCCCAGGTCACCCAACAGTCACTGGCCTCGGTTGATGCCCTACGAGACGAAACTCCTCAACTCAAACTCTCTCAAACGAGATCTACCCCTGCGCACGTTGGGAGTTCTTGTATCAGATCTGTCATTAACTCGATCTTCTGATTGGTCGTGGCCTGCACTTTCTGTTACACGTTCCTCCCTCCGTTTCATATTTTCGAAATATAACACTTTTAATTTCGCCTTTGACATGGAAGAGGGAGTCCAAATACCCATTTCCTGTAATTTCTGTCTGAAATTTCCCACAGTCCAATTAACTGGATTGTCCGTCTCATAAGCTGGATTAATGTTGGGTCGTTTGTTAGGCCTACGAAACGCCATTGCCACAGTCGCAAACCCGTAACTTGTGAGTCTGGAGACATCTCGACCTATACAAAACGCACAATTATAACTTAAACACGACACCGACTTCGACGACAAGCCGGATGAAAGTCCAAACGTGGAACGAGTCCAGTTGTCCAGTTCATAAGTTTTAATCTATGGCAAATGTCGCCAAGACTCAGATAATTTTTTACCAATTACAATCATTTACGCGACTGTTAATATGTTACGATGTCTTTATGTAAATTACTCACTTAAATTGTCGCAATCATCAAAGTTTTGAAAACATCGTTTAACAAATGTACACGCAGTCTAAAACGTCACTTCCGATAACTAATTCGCAATGGCATAGAATAATTATTTTCAATATGGTATTAATTATAAAAAAAATAACAGTTATGGACTACAGACACAACGTGAAGAAGGATTGAAATAAAATAGATTAACAGTAATAAAGAAATTCATCATAATCATTCAACATTTCCGATATAAGTACAGTAAAACACGTTTATAACGAACCTCAAGGGACCAAGAAATTTAGTTCGTTATACACATAGTTCGTTATACACATACAATGAATTTTGGCAAACAGTCACGCATAATTCGTTATAGGAATTGAACATGCTATAGAAATAAAGGAGCCTTATTTCATGATTATATATATACATGTATAGTATGTCCAAATAAACAGCAATTCATATTGCTTCCGAAAAACTCGAATAGTTACTTGAAAAAATGACAAATGACAGATTGCTTTTTGTTACTGTCTGAGATCTTGTTACGAGCCTTTGTGCTATCATTTGGCGATCCAGAGTTTTAATCCAATCCGTAAAAATGTTAGATGTCATACAACAGACAGAGATTTCACTCCCCTAAAATATTTCAATTTTTTAAAATTGTACCCAGTGTTGTTGTTGGAATTTCGAAGCTATCTGCGATATCCTTTTTAGTCTTTTCATTGTTGTCTACTTCACAAATAGTTTGGTATTTGGTTTCAATTGTTAACGCCTTCCGCTTACAAGATGGCGACGACAGATTTTTAAAAAACCAATAGAACGCAGGTACGTATAACAACAACTCACATTCTTCGTCAATCTTACATGTAGATAATTGAAACTTGCCTGGACACAGGATACAGGACAAACGGCTGACTTCACTCAGGTGTGACGACTGCCCGAGGCCACTACGTTATGTGGTTATTAATTAGCACTGATATACACCTGAGCGGACCCAAAAGCTGCTACGTTATAGACATTAATTTGTTATGTGAAATTCGTTATATATTTTGATTTTACTATTAAATGAAAGGACGATTGACGGGGAATGAAAAACACTACGTTATAACCATTTATTCGTTGTAAGCGTGTTCGTTAAAAACGTGTTTTACTGTATGTCAACTGGCAACGAAGTCATTCTCCTGATTTCAACCTTAATATTTACCATCATGGATTTTTACAGAAAAAAAACAGTCGATGGTCTATTCCAGATTTATATAATATTAACTATAATGCAATTATTTTTTGTTCTCTCCTTAATATCGATAGTGCATCCTACCTTCTGATTATCGCACCACTGGTGGAAGTTTTGCCCTCGAGGCTAACCATAATATACATGTCACGTTTTAATTATTTCAATACGGCACTGTTCGGAACACACAATGTACAAAAAATTGACGCTTTTTAAACATCTATTTGCATCAATCTGGATTTTCATCGCGAACACCTTAAAACAAACCCACCACAGTAACATACATACCCTATGTATAAGACATTTTCTCGCAGTCCGTGTATTATGCAATAGCTGTCCCCCATGTGCATATCGAATATTATTTTCCTGGCTTCGTTTCACACGAAAAGTTGATCAAAAGCATTTAGCAAATTGAAATATTTTATGGTCTAAGTTAGCCTGGTGGTTCCGTTGTTGTTTACCTTGATATAGCAAGTATCGTCCATGAAGTAGGGAACGCTTACTCATCCGGAGCACATGGTCTAGTGTTCCTTGCACTTTCCTGGAGTCTCTATATCTATGTACCTTTTTTACACAATTTAATCGCATAATGATAAAATATTAACTCAGATCAGAATAGACAATTTTATATCAGAAAGATGAATTATTAAGTTCGAATGGACAACACTATCTCCAAATGACAAATATATTAACTCAGAAAGGACAATTTTTATATCAGAGGGACAGTCACTGTTTTCAGTCAAGATGAAACCATAGCTGACTGTCCGTCGAATAAATAATTATATAGTGAAACCTCAATATAGAAATAAAATTCTATACATAACCTTGGCAGTGGAACAAGGTATTACTACATTTATATGCAAAAAAAAATATTCTACTCATAATTTTTAATCAATTATAACTTAAATATATTTGTGTGTTTATATGTATCCTATAACTAAGGAGGAGTTTGAACTTACCAGCATGTACTCTCAATAAATAGGGTTATGTGATATGAAGGTATGTTCCTGTCTGTTCATATGTGTAACCATGCGTGCTTTCGTGTGTACCTAGATGAATTCATGCGTGCACGTGTGTATGTATGTATGTATGTTTGTATGTATGTTTCTTTGTATCATAATTATACTCCCAATATATAACAGATATGTATTCAATATTTAAGTGTATACATATGTATGCGTGTTTGTGTATAAGTATGTATAAGTGAGTGTGGTTATGTATGTGTGTAAATATACATGTGAGTATGTACACGTATGTATGTATGTATGTATGTATGTATGTATGTATGTATGTATGTATGTATGTATGTATGTATGTATGTATGTGCGTGCATATGTATGTGTGTTAGCATGCATGAAAATGAGGGTGCATGCGTGCATCCATTTTTGTATCTATATATTCATGCAAATATGTACCTTTTCTTGTGTGAGTGTGTAAGGTTGTGTCAATACACGTTTGTAATAAGTAAAAAAAAATGATAATATAAAAAAAATATATAAAAAAATTATCCGAATGATAAAATATTAACTCATAATTGACAATATGATATCAGAAAGATAAAATATTAACTCAGAATTGACAATATGATATCAGAATGACAAAAATGATAATTTAGAATGGATGTTTTATCAGAATGATGAAATATTAAGTCGGAATGGAGAGTATTATATCAAAATGACAAAAATGATAATTCAGAATGGATGTTTTATCAGAATGATGAAATATTAAGTCGGAATGGAGAGTATTATATCAGAATGACAAAAATGATAATTCAGAATGGATATTTTATCAGAATGATGAAATATTAAGTCGGAATGGAGAGTATTATATCAAAATGACAAAAGTGATAATTCAGAATGGATATTTTATCAGAATGATGAAATATTAAGCCGGAATGGAGAGTATTATATCAGAAAGACAAAAGTGATAATTCGGAATGGACAATATTATCTCATAATGATGAAATATTAACTCAGAATGACAACAATGTTATCTCAGAATGGACATCATTACATTTTTGTTTTTACACACATTTGAAAAGCATTAACCATTACAAAATAATTAAACATTTACAAATTATAACATTGTTTAAAACCCCTCCTAAGCATCAAGGATGAATGAATATCTTTAGTTTCCAAAGATTTTTCATCAAGTTCAGATTTCAAAAATAGAACCTAGAACTGTAAAAGGATTACATATGATTCAAGCGACCAACTAGTTTTTAGAAAGAAATATACATCCTTCAGTTGTTCAAGGAATGGAAATACCATGTCAATATTCCCACAGAGTAGGGGTCCGTAAATATTACGCAAAATCAAACAAGAAAGAAAACTACACAAAAATAAAAAATATATTATTTCTCTTTTTCACAGAAAAGGGCGAATGTGTACATCTGCACTGCATGCCTTGCAGTCGCGCTGCTATTAACAGGATACAAATACACGGGAAGAAATTATCAAGACCAGATAAAGGATACAAAAGACACCAACGCTCCAATAATCGAGGCGCTCCCGTTAAACGGATATATTGTTTACGATTGTACCGACGAACATCCGGGATTATGTGGTGGATGGTCAGATCGCATGTCGGGCATGTTCAGTGCTTACGTCATTTCCCAGATATTGCGTAAAAAATTTCTGATAAGTTACACTCGATCGAGTAACTTGACTGATTATCTTAATCCAAATTCATTTGATTGGAAATATAACTCGTCAATTCTCAAAGGAAAGTCTGCGGATTACCGCGATTTATTTTGTAAAGTTCCGGATGCAATTCGGGAAAGAAATTTAACAGGCCTTGCAAGCATGTTCACAAAGGATGTCAATTTCGTACGTATGAACTGGGATTATACCGAACACTTTAGAAAGTTTCTAGGTTTGCAGAACGTCATACCATGGTTGTTAGAATTACATTATGCCGATATTTATTTAAAGTTTTTCAACACCCTCTTCAAACCTACAAACATGATAACTGAAGCAGTAAACAAGACTGTACAAAATGTATCAAAACTTGCCTGTGCTCATATTCGTATGGGTGGAAGTGACACGATACCAGGAGATGACACGCATACAGAAGGGAAACAACTTAAACATGTCTGGAACTTTCTTAAGGTCATGGAAGCCAGAAACTATAGCATTTTTATTGCAACCGATGCACAAATTGTACGGGAGAAGGCAAATGCATTATTCAAACACCTCCTAGAGGCTGAAGGACGAATCCTACACATAGACTGGGGAGCTACTGGGGATGACTTAGTTAATGGTTATAAGAAAGTTGTTGTAGATTTCTTTGTTCTCACGAAATGTGATGTGTTAGTTTTAACGAAGAGTGGGTTTGGAATAATGGCCGCGTACCTGAATTCCGATGTATCAAAGTTGTACTGTCTAACAGCAAATGAGTTGGTGCCGTGTTCTCGGTATACGATACATAACTACTACCCCGGCGATTTACTTTCCCACTAGTCTTACTGATGCTAGTGCACAAAGATAATTGGGCTATCTTATATCTCAGGATGTAAACGTTTGAAGCCCGTATTATCTACTGCACCGTGTAACAGGATCATCAATTTAGGAAACGATGTGATTTCGTCGTTAACTTTCAGTGTTTTAGATAGATATCGATGGAGTGGACATTAGCCTAATTGATGTCTATAGTTCTGCAGACTGTTAAATAGATGGCCTACGTCCCAGCTCTTGTACTGTTGAGAGATGTGCCGTCTGTTTAACGGATGACCTTAATGCGATATCTGGTACTATCAAGTGAACTGTCGGTCGTTGATGGATACCTTGTTAACTATCGTCTGTTGAATGATAATTTATATGCATATCTATAGTTCTGCTGAATTGATAACTTCCGCGTCTAAAAAATGATGAAATGGCAAATGAAGTTTTGCTTTGTTAATTTTTATCTACTTAAGGAATATCCGTCTTCTGAATGTAAAAATGACATTGATTTTTTGCTGAGGGAATGGATAGCTGACAAATAACCTGCCGACTGTTGAAAAATAGCTTTCTTGGGAAACGAATTTTCTTTGTTGGATGATTAGATATTAAGTGAATTTGTCAGAATGGACAATATTACCCGATAATGATAAACTCTTAATTCAAAATGGATAATATTATATCAGAATGATAAATTATCAACTCAGAATGGACAAATTTTATCGCAGAATGATTAAAATATTAAGTCGGAATGGAAAATGTTATCTCCAACTGACAAAAAATATTAACTCAGAATGGGAAATTTAATCGCATAATGATAAAATATTAGCTCAGAATGGACAATATTAAACCAGAATCATGAATTATTAAGTTCGAATGGACAACACTATCTCCAAATGACAAATATATTAACTCAGAAAGGACAACTTTTGTATCCGATGGACAGTCACTGTTTTCAGTCAAGATGAAACGTCAATATATTTCTCTTTTTTTTCTTTGTTTTTTTTCTCATATGAGAAAAAGATAAGTAAAATTCTAGACAAAATATTGGCAGTAGAACAAGGTATTACTACATTTATATACAAAAAATGTATTCTACTTATTTTGTTTATCAATTATAACTTAAACATATTCATATACATATGTTTATATGTATCCTATAAATAAGGTGCAAAGAGTTTGAATTTACCAGCATGTACTCTCAATAAATAGGGTTATGTGTTATGAAGGTATGTTCCTGTCTGTTCATATGTATAAGCATGCGTGCTTTCGTGTGTACCTAGGTGAATTCATGCGTGCACGTGTGTATGTATACAGTGTGTATGTATGTTTGTATGTATGTTTCTTTGTATCATAATTATACTCTCAATATATAACAGATGTGTATTCAATATTTAAGTGTATACATATGTATGTTTGTTTGTGTATATGTATGTATAAGTGAGTGTGGGTATGTATGTGTGTAAGTATACATGTGAGTATGTACACGTATGTATGTATGTATGTATGTATGTATGTATGTATGTATGTATGTATGTATGTATGTATGTATGTATGTATGTATGTATGTATGTGTATGTGCGTGTATACATATGTATGCGTGTTAGCATGCATGAAAATGAGGGTACATGCATGCATCCATGTTTGTATCTATGTATTCATGCAAATATGTATCTTTTCCTGTTTGAGTGTGTAAGTATGTGTCAATACATGTTTGTATATGTGAAAAAAAAAATTCATATTAAAAAAAATGAAAAAAAAAATATCAGAATGATGAAATATTAAGTCGGAATGGAGATTATTATATCAGAATGACAAAAATAATAATTCGGAATGGACAATATTATCTCATAATGATGAAATATTAAGTCAGAATGACAACAATGTTATCTCAGAATGGACATCATTACATTTTTGTTTTTATTCTGCATTTTCCTTCGTCGACAGTCACATATTCTTTGATTTTTATTGATTTTGTACTGTAAACCGGATACCTGATCATATTTCACCGCTTTGTTCTATTTTTAATCCATTTCTATTACGTCACCAAGCTTTATAACCAATTAAAAAAAAACAAAAAACAATTATTTTTTAGCGCCCATCATTTGTGATTATAAACATTTGTGATTATAAACACTTTCAATTTAAGTGAGATACCGAATAAGACTAATTAAACACGAAACGATTCACACAGCAAGCAGTGAAGTTATTCCGGGGTAACACACAGGAAAGGGGCTTAATATAGACTTTGAATCGTGGGTTGTAAGCAAAGTTGATTCAGCGCTGGCGACATTTATTCCGAAGCACGCAATTAACAATGTTCTCTTTGTAAAAACATTCCACACTATGAGTCATGGACTCAATAGACACTTCATGATACATTGATACAGTGAAATACATCATTTATGTTTGTTATAAATTAAACATAATAAATAGTAAACGGTTCAATGGTATCTGTCGGATCTCTGTTATGCTTCTTAAATATGAAATGAAAAAAAAAAAAAAAAAATGAAAAATATCAACCGATGCGGGATATTTGTTTTTGCACTTCATAAATCATATCCAACCAATAAGTGCAATAATTGTTAAATATTGTTAAATATAACTCAGAATGGACAATATTGAGTCAGAATAATACAATATTAACTCAGAATAAGTTAAGTTCATACATGTAAACGGTAGCACCTTTTAAATTGCCCTCAAACACATTGCGTTCTTTTGAATCTATTGAACGATAGAGTTACTGCACCCTCTCATTCCAGTTTTGATATAAATTGGTTTGCACTCAGTCGTCATGTTCTGAATTTAAAAAAAAAAGTTTAATCAGTGTATTTCAAGCCCTGGTATCTATTTTAAAATCTGTGCATGATCAAGAATGATATTCATTTGTGTGTCTTTTGGAAACTTCAAATGATATTGTAGGCATAATGAGTAAAGATAGAATAGAAATAATGATTAAATGTCCGCTTTGGTCATATACACATATACCTTTTTTCAACGTTATGTCAAACGGGTTTTACACCAACGTATTAGGCTTTTCAGAGGCCGACAAGTCCTCGCGATAGTATGGTTTATTTGTTTGTACTTACAATATTGATCACGTGACCAAACTATCGGTAAAGAAGTCGAAACTTGTATTTGCTATATTTGTTTATAAGAGTTAATCCTGTACATCGATGTGATTCCATAAATCATGCAGATTTTAAAAGAGTGAATGTAAGGATTTACATGCGCCGTTAAATTCTACATCAATGATGTACGTAAATACAAATAAACCAACTAACTTCCCCGGGTACTCCGGTTTCCTCCCACAATAAGATCCCTCGCGCGCCTACATCCGGGCCCACAAGAGTGATTAGTATAAGTTGACATAACTTGTTTCGCAATTGTTGTAAAATAAATAAAGTTGATATATATATATATTCTCCGGACTTCTCGTCCACTGAAAGGTCCTTATATAGTGGACGTAAATTACGTGAAATATAATGAAATGAAATTCGGTCAAACATTTAATTAGAATACTTTGGTAGACTCTCCGACACCTCCAATTTATAAGAGTTCAGACTCGGACAACGATTTATGACGCTATGTCCATTAGGCAGTTCGCACGATTTTATTTTTCCGTCAGGGTCATTTTGAGCCAGGTCTCCTTGTAGTAGGCGGTGACTACCTCGATCACTGAACTGGTCAATGAACTGTGAACATTTTTAAATACTATTGTCCTTAAACAATAAATAAAAAACATCGCTTTTTGAACCGCAGAAACCAAAGTTTCACTCAAGTGAGTAATTATTGTATAGAACAGTCTATCACAACATCAGAAATGATTGATGGTCTAAACGTTTTAATTATGTAGATATGAATACAGAAGCGTACATGTCAGTATTATTTTTTATCAGCCTTTATCATTAACATAACATAGTAGTCAATGTCACGACATCTGAATGATCAATATGTATAGAACGGTAATTATATATGGAATCAAAATCAATTTGAAAACTGGCACTTGAATATCAAATTAACTGCGATATGAATACACCTGTCAGGAAACAGCAAATTCACAATAATACAAATGGAGCCAAGAATGTAGAGCTCGGGTCTTACCTCTGTAGATAATAATGAGATATGGTATTTTAGAAAAGAATATACACAAATGTAATAGTTGTGAACACGTGGTAATACTATTTTAAGGATTTGTATATTTGTGTTTGTTTCCTATTGAGCAATTTCCATTCGATGAATACATGAATTGTTTATTACTATCATATTTGCTAAAGTATCTGTTTTACAATTACCTAGATTTATAATGATTAACATGCAACAACTTAAGAATATAAAACGAGAAACACAAAGGTGTTGTTAGGTTGGAATTAGCAGTAGTTTTTTCAATTTTAGCATTATTGATTCGGTAACCATGGCAACACAAAGTTGATGTATAATCACAATTTTTGGGGAAGAAATGAAAAAAATAATTAAGGAAGATCACACTTGTTATTGAAATAGTAACTTTACATCAATAATCCGGATGGGTTACGTTTTACTCCACTTTTTTGAACATCAAAATCACAGACGGTTTAACAACTACAGTGTATGGAATATTTATGCAAATATTATATCTTATTTCTGGAGAGAAGTTTGCTCTAAAAGAAGTTTATGACGTATTGGATGTTATCAAAGACAAAGTCCATAAGGTTACATTGTGTACCTTGACTTTTAATGTCTTTGATACGAGTCCAATTAAGTATAAACTTCTCGGTTCTATTCCTAGTAATTTACACCAATGAACCAAGAATTTACGAAAAACAAAATTTTATTTCCGGTGGACAATATCTTCGCCAACTTTGTTAGAAAGATCAGCCATTTAGAGTTTTGGCATACATATGGAAAGAAATTGTGTCCTTTTCGTGGCTAACATGTTTTTATGTCATTCCCAAAGAAGTCGGAGAGGGACTTATTGTTTCGTTTCCAACTTATCATTGTTAAGTGCACATATGAAAGTAAAGGAAGAATTTCATCACCAT